AACTCTAGGTGTAGTTGAGTGAATGCTCAAGGACGGGATGTGCGGGTTGCTCGATCCCGACGTTTGCGCTTGCGAGCAGCTTCTCGTTGTTTCCACTCGCTTTCTGGGGTCACCGCCGCCATTGCTACCTTTTACTTTGCGGACAGTACTGCATGCGCATGCGTCGAGATTCACGGTCTCCGCTTCATTCATTCGCCCGTGTGTGCGTTCCGGCGGCAGTGGTGAAATCCTCTGCGCCTTGGTCAACGCCATTCGCCCGGGAACGATCCCCCGCGTGCACGAGAGCCAGCTAGGGTTCGAGCAGGTACCCACGTAGATCCCACAGGCATGCACACGAATGTGGACACCGGGCGGGGGGTGGAGGGACGTTCGGAGTCTTCGACGGGAGACTGTACACGCAGCGGGCGGGGGCGTGAGTGTGTCACAACAGAACAGCACCCTTGCGCGGTGATCAGGGTTAGGGTATCTTCATCGTGCGGCATCTTCGTGCCGCTTGGTATTTGATACCCCGGTGACGCCCCCGAGATCTTGGTTTTCACGGCGACGTCCGCTTCGGGCCCGCAAGGGGAGGGAGGGGAGGGGGGGAGGGGTGGTGGTGGTTGTTCTAGACGGTACTATGACAACCATTGCTCCCGGTATAGAAGTGTTCGGTACAAGTGGTGGTACTATGGTACGTAGTTAGCTGTTCCATCGCTGCCATGAGATAGAGACCGTCATGACGTATTGTAGCTGGTTGGTCTGGCTCTCTCGGGTCCCCGCCACGACAAGGGATTCCTTCGAACGATCGATCGATAGCTGTCGGTAGGTAATGGGAGGGCGGCTCCACCGCCATTCGGCACATGGTTGACCCTGCAACGTGTGCTTCCGTAGTAGAGCACGCTCTCCTCAATCCGGCGGCACAGCGTTGACGACGTCCATACAACCTTCGCTTCCACTCGACTGAAAGCACAACGACAATTCACGGTGTGTGTGTGTGACTGTTTTCCCGTCTCGGCGGCCAGATGGAGAACATCAACAGCTTCCTCTCGGCGTGCTGCAAGCTCGGGGTACAGGCCCACGCCCTCGTCGACACCGCCGACGTGTTCGAGATGAGGGACACCGCCAAGGTCGTGGAGTGCGTGGTGAGCGAGCGGTCTGCGTGTTGAGTGCCTCCCAGCGCTGTTGGTCATCGGTGGCGTGCCGGACTGTGGTGCTCCGAGCTCTCTCGGTGTTACTTCTATCTTTTTGTCTGTCATCGATCTGTCCGATTTCACGTTTAGCAAAGAATCTCTTGCTTCCGTGTCAACAGTCTGTTCGTGCGTCTCTCAATCTATTGCTTTCCCTTTTTCTTGTATGTGTTTCTTGCCCCGCTGGTCCGTGGACTTCGCGCACATCGGTGCGAGTACGGTGCAATTGTTACTGATACTCAACGCCCCCGCCTGCCCTGCTGCGTGTCCCGTGCTCTACCCTCCCGTTTCCGAAAAACACGTTCGAAAATAACAAAAACAACTACACCGCGTCGAACACCACCACCATCTCCACACCGCCACAACCGCAACCGCACCTTGGAAACAACAACACAGCACGCTCTCGGGAGCGCGGTGCAGGTGTCCTGCCCGGAGTTCGGCGGCCCCCACCTCGGCCCCGCCGCCGATCCGTCATTGGTCGCCGTTGTCCCTCCCGCGGACGAAGACGAAGGCGGCGATGACGGCGACGGCAAGGACAACGCCGTTGCTGACGACGATGACGACGAAGACGGGGCCTTTGGCGACTTTTGGCGAGCTTCCGTGGGGTGCGTGGTGATATTCTCGATCGATCCCACCGGGGGGCAGAGGAGCGAGCGGCCGTCCGTGCCTCGAAATGCGCTTGGGTGATGTAGCAGCTGTTATGGGTGTAAACGAAGCAGCGGCGAGTCCACGTCCAAGCTGGAGTGGGGTGGTGCTGGTGTAAACGATCAAAACGCCTCCTTGCGGTGTATCGACCCTTCCGCCCCCAATCTCTCCCACAAAAACGGAAGCAAATGAAGAAGGAAGATGACGTAGACTTGTTTTTTGCTTGTTTGGCGCCAGGCGGAAATTGCCGCACGGAACTCCGACTGCCGCAAGAAGAAACGTAGGAACTCATTTTCCTACAGTCGACTCGCTTGAGTTACAGCAGTGGCAACACTCAAGGTTGCAACTACTGCTTGTTGTGTCTTTTTCGGGGCGTGGGTGACGATAAACTGTACTTGTAGAGAATAAGCGGAAGGCGGGATTCCACTACAGTATATATCGCGTCACGGACTGCTGAGGGCGTTGCGGTGACGGCGATCGATGACGGGGTTTTGCGGGTTTTTTCGTAACAGCTCAGAGTGTGAGACGGTTCCGCCGTGAACGAAACCCTGGACGAAATCTTAGATGGAATAACTACCCTTCCGCAAGATTTTGTCGACCTTGAGCCATATCCGGGTCAAATTTTCACGGGAAGTATACGTGGACTTGGTTCTACTTGATTCGTTAGTCACCCCATTTCATTCAAATCTACAATCCCAAGCACGCACCATTCTTCGACGGCTGCTAGGTACGGTATGTATGCCATCAAGCAAGCACCCGGGCATTGATTTCGACTTACCCTCGCGAGCGCACGCGTGCCCTTGGAACCATGCCATCGAGCAGGACCGGTGGAAACGCGCCCCACGAAGGCGGCGGCGGTCATGATGGGGACGTTGCCAGCGACAACATGCTCGTACTCAATATGCAGGTGCGCCGTCTCGAACACCGACACACATACGTACATAAAGGGTTCTCTACCCCGCTCGGTCTCTTCCCGACGCCCCCCCTCCTCAAAACGGATACTGGTCGATAAAGTCCGTCGTGCTCCTCCTCGTGTTTTATGTTGCGAAATGGTAATCCGCCTCCGCTCCCTGGTGCTCATCGTACGAAGCATAGCGACGTGCCTACGCGAGAAAAAATCTACCCCGCTTACCCCTCCCCTACTCCCTGCTCCCCCTTGCCGCACCTCTCGATTTCGTCTTGGCCCCGTATGGATATGGCAGGACGTGGAACGTCCCCGTTCGACCCGACGAGGCTTCACGACAACGGTGGGGAGCATCACGGACCTGGACCCACCGGCCACGCTGTCAGCTCGCGCGCGCCAGATGTGTCCCACGGAGGTATGCCAACAAGCTCAAGCACGAACAAGCACGCTACCAAACTGTTTGATAGCGTTCACCATGGACCGTCGAAGAGCGTGGCAACTGAAAGGCCGATAACGTTTTCCCGCGGGCCGACCTCGATTCACAACCCCCCGCCCCCGCTGCGCTCCCCTGGTATGCTTTTGCAGATGGTCAACTCCCCGCGAGCATTGGTGTTCAACGCCGATCCCGTCGGCCACCCGCCTCGATCCCCGACGTTACGGGCGGCGTGGGAATCGAACGCGACCAACGGAGGGCGTGCCGCCGCCGGCCGAAGCGCTTGGGGCACGGACGCGTACCCGGCCAAGCGGACTGCAAAGGTGGGGGGGGTGTTCGTGTGGACAAGGGCGCGACACCTACGTTTACGCCGAATACTGCTGCTGTCTTAAAACCATCAAGCTTTGTTCGAGTTCCCTTTTAACGCCTCGCTGGTTGTTGGTCGAGCGTGCTCGTTTTGGAGACCTTGTTGCTTGATTTTTGGGCTGGCATTTGCACCCCGCTCTAGATGGAACATTCCCGGAGCCACGTCTGACACCATGACTCCAGCGTCTCGGTGACCATGTTCTGGTGCAATACTAGGGTTACTTGTCCTGTTTTTTTCCTTGTGTGTTCCAACGAGCGTTGTCGCTGGGCACCTTCCGTCGCCCCCGCTTCTGCAACCCTGACTCTGTGCCGAAATTACACCTTTGCCTGTAGTGCCTACCATTCCCACCGCTGCTGATGTCATCTAGAATCAACATGGATGTTTGTAGCGCCCATCGCCCCCCACTGCTGTCTTCGTCTCTCCTTTCAGATCACTTCCAACCTATCGGCGACCTCCTCACGTGGCATGACGCTCTCACCGGCGGGGATATGGGGAACAGGCGCGGGGGCGGTGCCTAGACAAGGAATAGGCAAGAGCGCCAGCCCAGCGGCGGCCAGCGCTAATTCGGCCACTACCGCCGCCGTCGCCGCCTCACNTGAGGCCGACCTCGACGCGCGTGCCAACGGCGCTGCGAGGGCGGCAGGAGAGCAGCAGCGGGAAGAGGATGGAGTGGACGGTCCCAGGATGTCGGTGTCGGCACGCATGCCCGGGAGGTGGAGATAGCCAGGGGGGGGGGGGGGGGGGGAGGGGGCAGGCGCTGGAAAGAACGGAGGAATGCCCTGAAACCCGACGTGACCTTGTGCGAGCGTGTGTGCTCCTTCTGTGGTCTCGTAGCGGCCGACAAAAATAAAGAATGGTAATGAGGCATTGACGAGCGCCACTCTTGAACCACTACCGTCGCCTCTCTCGATTCCCTCCGTCACCGACGCCTCAAGATGCAGCAAGAGGGGCTTGATTCCCGGCGGGGGAGGGGGCGAGAGGGTGGGACGGGGGGATTCCTGGCGGCAGGGCGAATGAAGGAGTCGGGCCGGGCTGTGTTTTTCTGGACCTTGAGCGTGATTGCCTCAGACTGCAAGGGTCGTGATGTAGAATCATCGGCCTGGGGGTCGCTAACAACTCCGACCAACGCGGTATCGCGTCGAGCCTATCGTTGAGCATGTATTTTATCTGTGTGCTTGTGACGGCACCCACAGCGCTCACGCGTACAAAACGTTGCACGGAGGAGAGGGTGGGGGGGGGGGAGGGGTTACGGTCGATCGAGCCGTGGGTATCGAGAGCAGTGTGCCTTGTTTAGGCTGGCTTCGTTCGGTTCTCGTGCTTGAAGTTTGAAGGTGTTGCCTGTCGTCACAGCAGTGCTCATGTTCTTTCGTGATCGATCGTCGATCTGCCTGATTCTCAGGCGTTGACACAGAAACACGAAACACCCACCAGCATCGAACTGGTCACTTTCGGCACAAACTGAACCTGGGGAAATGACACAAATCCACCACTTTGTTCGATCGAAGCCCTTTCCTAGGAAAAAATACGAGTCGAATCCACCGAGATGCTGGAATCGCCCTCGCCGTAAATGAGAGGAGGAAGAGACAACGAGTCAAAAACACATCAATGGCTTGATATTGCTAATCGAATACGCTCAAGTCCGAAAACACATCAATGGTGTGATATTGCCAATTCAGACATGAGCAAGATCCCCGGTTCTCCACAGCAACTCCGAAGCAACACATTCAGCTAGACGCCGGCCGCGCGCACCACACCTCAAAAGAATATTGACGTTCGTCTTTTGCTACTGGCTGCGAAATCTCGATTTTCTGTTCTAGTTTTAGTGTCTAGCCTGGGCACTGGGACCAAGCCCGCACGCAATCTCAACACCACAAGTGCGTCGTCGATCAGTAGACCACCTCCCTACTCCCGTTCGAAACCGGAGTGCTTTCGCCCGTCGTCACCCGCAAAACACGCGGCACCGACCATTCTCGATCAAGGGCGCCCTTATACGCAGTAGTATAGGCCAGCATGTCGGGGCTCAGTTCATGCCGAGAACGCTGTGGCACTTCCCACCGGTATCGAAAAATCTCGGGGCGGTCTCTGTCTTCGTTTCTCATCTGGCCCGTACATTGTATGCCCATGAATAATCGGGTTACTGTCCTTGGGGACCCCGCCACGGCGATACAACCGACCGCGTCTTCTCCACTCAACAAAGGCCATCGCTCCAACATCATAACTCTGCGCCAATCGTGATCCCCTCCCCGAAATTGCGGAGTCGACGTAGGTGGCATGACAAACATACCACACCCCCCTAGACCGATTTTCACGGCTCGATGACTCCGCGATGAAGACGATCCATGAATGACACAACGAAGTTTTTGGGAACGCTCTGCGGCTCCAACGCTGCAATCTTCGACGCTGCGTTTTTTTTTGCAGGGGAAAAATCGAGCTTCGAAAATCAATCCACGGGGTGCGATGCCTTGCATCATGTCACCTACGGTAATTTTCCTGTTGCTGTATCACCAACCGCGCCGCAGAGGAGCGACAAACCAGCCCAAAAAAGCAGGTCAACCGATCAATCCCTAGCCAATCACAGCAGCTACCGTTTTTTCTGCTTCTTCTCCCGTACCCAATAAAGCTTCTTAGAATTTTCCCGATCGGTTCTGGCGCTTGATCTTTTCTCGGCTGTCGAGCTGAACGAATCGCCTGAACTCGTCGAGCGTGTAGTCCTCCTCCTTCTTACGCTTCAACCTGGCAAGACTTGGCAGCTACGGGGGCGAAGGGGAGGCAGCGGACGAGGAAAGTGTGGAGGAGGGGGATATAACTGGTCAGCTGCTACATGTAGCTATTGCTTGACGGCGGCATGTAACAAACTCAACACAGTTTTGAAAACGCGCGTGGTGTGTGTACATGAGCAGAGTGTGGACACGTGTAAGTTGTTGCGTCGAATACTCTTGTTACATGGAGCGCACACGTCCCTTTAGATGGGGCGGGTTGGCCGGAAGTATACTGTAGACGCCACGGCGACCAGTGCAAACCCACGCGCTCGTGAAACGAGAACTGGTTGTGTTTGTTGAAAGGTAGTGCTGGTTCGGCTGCCGGTCGTGGTGCCGGCATGCAGCCGCCACCAAAATCACCGATCGAGTTCATTGCGAAGGTTCTCGAAAATGACACGTTGGTTCAGGCCATAAATAACATACGCGATGCATATTGATTCATCTATTTTTATTCCTGGGCATCAATACACGGACGGGGCAAGGTTGCAAGTCATCGTAAGGGACAAAAATACAGAAAAGCACTCCCAGCGCCTTTCCACCGCAAATTTGCCGAAGACGAGAAACTCCGCAAGTGATGTTGACGGCTTTCGGACTTTTGTCAGTATCGAGATTTCGTCAGCTTCAGGCGACCGCCGTATCTGACAACCCCCAAGCCGGCAACGGTACGCTCCTGGCAACGAATCTCGCGACGGTCGTTTATCCCAAAGAAGCCTCCTGAATCTGCAACGAAAACATCGCCTACCAAATAACGACACCTTATGAGAGACCCTGTACATCGAGCAGGCCTCTTCCTGGGAAAATCGACCCCCTTAAGGCAAGACGGGGTTGAGCATGGTGCCCACCCGCCCCCCAAACGCTACACGACAACCCCCCTTTGCCAGCAAAAACCTTAGCAAGAAGAATCAATCACACCGTTTGGACTGGGTTAATTTCTTCAACGGGTAGGTATTCTTCAGAGTGATTTTCTGAAAACGTGGAGTTCAGATTGTTAGGCCTGCTTGTGATTATTTCGACCGGACTGCTGTCGGTTTCGCTTCATCATTCGGGTCGCGGACATGTGTGTGTACATGTGTCATATAGCGGTACATAAAGAAATACCTGCATATTCCACAGCCATTCCGGGTATTCCTCGTCGGGCATGACCGAAGGGTCCTTCCCATCCTTCAGGAAGTTGATGGGTGTCACGCCTAGCCCGTGCTCCCCCGCACTGTCTTTCGCGCTGTCGCCGCCGCCCTTGCCCCCTTTCTTCCCGCCGGACGCCGCTGAGGCGCCCGCCTTCGCCATCATCCCTCTCGCGCTAACGCCGGCGGTGGGTCTGCGGCAGGTGGTGGTAGAGCCCGCCGCCCCTTTTCGTGCGTCGGGTGTTCGCGCATGTATCGACGCGGGTGGGTTTTTTCGTGCAGGGAGGGAGAGGGAGGATTGGTTACAGTATTCGCGGGGCCTAAAGTGCGCCGCCTCTGGGGAGTCGGCTCATTTGCCGCCACGGCTGAGTCCAACACGTTTGCTGAATACAAAAAACCTCGAACGGGTGGTTTATCTGTGAGGTATGTTTACTTTAAAAAAAACCTGCGAAGCCTACACTGGCTGAGGCGCAGCCACGCGCGGCACCAGCCGGACACGCAACAGGCGCACCTCACTCAGAGTTTGGGGCACTCTATCGCACACGTTGGGTGAAGGACTTCGACAGCTACTCTATTCTAGACTGAGAGCGTAGGGTCACGTTTCATGCAGTACAGGGGAGACGCTGCAAGATCTCGCAGTCTGTCTACTGCTGTACCGGCGAGAGACATGCATGTAGACCTTCGCAGGAAATGCTGGGCGGTCGCCAACAAGGGCACCGCCACAACAATCGTCGATGCCATCGCAGCAGGTGCTCGTCCTTCTAGATATAATCTACTTTTCCATGATCGTTTCGGCAGTCATGTGGAGGTCACGTTTGGCACGCTGCACAACTGGACCTCCGAGAAGAGCGCATGGAATTACACAACTTGGCCTGGACAAACTGGTAGTCTATGACCCGGAGGTTTAGACGTCTGGGTGCTGTGCAGCAGTGCTCTTTGGACTCAAACTCGGACAAGTCACGACACACGAGTACGTACTGCTAAAGGCAATTCGATGGGCGTGCAACCCTGGTGGGCACCAACTGTTACCTAACAAGCTCCGTGGTGGGACACAAGGACGGCGCCAACCTACAGATAGACTGCTGTATTACAAAGGAGTTGGGTAGGTGCAGTTCCCGCGGTGGGTTACTCCCGCCATGCCTGGCGTAGACTATGCAGTCTACTGCTGCAGGCGGATCGCACATGGTGAGATATGAGCAGAGTCGTGCCTAACATGCATACTTGCAAAACAAACATTAACTTCGTTCTCCTAAACAGGTCATTTCACATGCCAGAGTGCACAAATCACGCAATTGTAGGCCGTGCCGGAGAAACTGCTGCTGCTGTGCTGGGACGCAATGTCCAGCGCAGCTAGGAAAGCAGCCACATGTTGCTCAGCAGAAAACTTTGCTTACCCACATGTCTCAGCAAAGCTTCCGCGCATCGCAGGTGCACCACTCGTCTTGAGGATGAACTCAACATGATAACCCCGTCGTGCGTGCCAGGACGACCTTCTGTCTCTGTCTTGCTCTGCTCACGACTGTGATCTGTGACGCGGCGCGCTTGTCGCTTGTTGGACGCTCACGGGGGTTCCGTGCCTGTGAATTTCCACCACCCTTTACAGGTTGCGGAACCCCTCGAACAGCACAGGTTGCGCCGCATGCATGCCGCAAAGCACGCACCAAGAAGCAAGCCGAGCTACACCATCGATCTAGCTCTCCCACCTTCTTTTGTTCCACGGCGACTCATCGATCATGAACGGCACGTCCTGAAAAGGCTGATCTGTCAGTAGTAATCTCCAGCAACGACGGGTGCGTGCACTTTGTCGTTGAAAGAACTGGCTCTATTATTTTCTCCGCCCGGTGTCGCACGCTACACGACAGCCTGCGGTTGTGTCTGGTGTGGGTTGTGTACCCTAGTCTCCCTCTTACCTGTAGCGTGGCAGTGAACCAGTCAAACTACAGTTGCGGCTATGGTTTCAGAGAGGGTTGGTATTCCTGGTAAACCGTTTGGCTGCGATATTACCTTATGCCGTAGCCAACTCGAAAGGTCGTGGAACACTGACACCCTGACGCCCACTCCAGCAGTATGTGCCGTCAGAGCTCATGGAGAGCCTATCATTCACGTATGTCACATGACCCAGCTAGCGTCAGCACCTTAGGCTAGCTCCACACACAGCTTTGTCTGTTGGTCGGCGAGCGATATGGACCCAAGTCACGGTACGCTCTTGGGACCTGTGCTGGGAGATTGGACTAAGTATCATGTTGTCGTGTGGCACACTTAGTGCGCGTGGAAAAACAGTGGAGAAGTATTTGTTGCATGTTGTGTTGTGCTGCACACTGTATTCGCATCTCAACTCGAAGTACAACGCGAGCCCATGGATGCACCAGCATCCAAGGAAAAATCTACCGACGCACGTACTGAACGAACCACTCGTACCCCACCCATCCCCTTCACGCATGAACACACACCACAGATACCATGGAGGTACTGCCCGTCTCTGCATTTGTGTAGTGTGAAATGAGGCGGGCCTTGCGTGTCGTCGGGCATAGTGCAGCGGTCACCCGCTGCGCAGGGCATGGTGTCTGCAGTTGTGTCTGTGTTGAGAGCTGTGGGATGTGTGTGATGGCTACGTGACGTGGCCTCCAGCAGCTCGATTTCAGAGAAAATGTCAGAAATATGCCAAATTTCTCTTAAATCGATTTTGGTCGTGCCAAGCGATTCTCCTCTCTTAAACCCGTACCTTCTCGTAAAAGATCCTCCTTAAATCGTAGCCGATACTGTATATCTACCCATGTGACTTGAACTCATTCTGGGCTAAACAAACTGCCGTGACGTCGTTGTGAGTACAAACTGGTGAGATCCTCCTCGACAGAAGACGCACAACGGAGACTTCGGTCCCAGCGCGATGACCTCGATCGGCGGTCGCTGGAGCACATTATTACTGCTTCTCTCAAGACATCTGGGCTTGTTCAACTTGCTGCTTTAGGCCGGGAAAAATAGCGGAGGGCAGGGTGGAGGGGGAGTGGGAGGCGGGCGTACTGTGATCGAAACGTCGATCGATCTGGTGTCGATCGTGTTGCGCTGATAACAGTAAGAGGTCTGGGTGTTTTCCTACATGTACGCTACAAGAGAAATCCTTCCTATGTAACCCTGTGTATGCATAGGGGGTACAACCTCTCCTCTCCGTACACCACAAAATGAGGGCCCTGTCAACGTTTGTTAAGCCACCGGCCTTCCTTGGACACTGACCACAGACTTGAAGCCGTTATTTATTCGCGCCCAGGCATCCCGAAGCTACAAGATGGGGGCACGCTGAAGCGCCAAACAGGGGGCAGACATCGAGCCCGAACAAAAAAAAATCACAAGGGTTCATATCCTGCTCTCAGGCCACCTTCTTTGGCACAGCTCGTAAGCGGTGAGGGCCTTCCTGCAGCTCGGCGCTTCATCGGCAGCCCAAGACCACGAAGGGAATTGAATGTGCGTTCGGAACTCGGAACCGTGATGAGGCACTGGAGGCGGTCGTGGACTTATTGCGACAGTGCAGAGCGGGCAATACAGCCATCTCTGACAACGAGTCATCCACGATCAGGCTCCCGCGTGTAGATTTCTGGGTCTCGGCCGGGATGGGAATGGTAAGCTTGGCAAGACGAGGTCGGAGTTGTATGCTCCCGGCTCCGGCTGCCTGGACGTGGCGTCGTCGTCGTTGGCTGGTCACAGACTTCGATCGAGAGCTGTCGAGATCACGAGGAAAACCGTTAGCTACTGACAAGCGCTGTCTCGGAAATGTTGGACGGTGGATCTTCACAAGCGCGGGTGCAGCTGAAGAATGTTGGGAGTGTTGGTGGCATGCCAAGAGGATGGGAGAGGGCTTGAGAGAGGTATGGTGATCTTGCTACATAGCAGGACGTTCTTCGGACGGTGATGAGGCTTGCTGTGAAAAACAATCAATTCGGAACCGTATGCATATGTCGCGACTTATTGTTTGGAGAGCTATTTTGCGTTGCACTGATTCTGTACTCAATAAGATCGTGTTATCTTTCCCATTCGCACTGTGTGCAAGGTCAGTGTGTCTTGCTGCCGTTGTGAAGCAAACGGCCCGCAGCGCGCTTGGGTTTGGCGTAGTCGCCCTCGTCATGAAAATTCGTTGAGACACATTCCAACCTTGAGCGTACCACACCGTTCCCGGCCCGTTCATTCTACTTCGGTGTACGCAACCCTTGTCTCTTCGGCAGTGTTCCACTACCTGAAATCGGGCTCCAGGGTCTGAAAGTGTGCATGCACGTGCCTGTCGCATGAGAGCACCTCCTTTGGTTGTCTGTGAGTGGGGACCGATGTTGACGAAGTTTCGAAATATTTGCCAGCAAATCTTACCGAGATGCTGGTTCTCACCAGGTGACACACGTACCTTGTGCTCTTGACTCCCATTATTACTTTTGCCAACCCAGAACTCTCCGGCCAGAAGTGTTGCGTGTCGAAGTCAACCGGCTATGACGCACAGCAATAATAGGCGCCCATACCAGCCAGGCGTACGAGCTTTTTTGCCGATGGGAAGAAGCGTTGATTTTGGTGGAGCACCTCTCTACTTCCGGGCGGGTGAGCGGCCTGCTACGCAGGGTAAGAAGTGGTGCTCACCAGGGCCTGGCACCAAATCAAAGTTGTACATGAAATACGTTAATTACGGGGGGGGACTGGCCTTCACTTTGTTTCTTCTCACCGCCTAGTATGTTCGGGTCTATGGGAAAATGTCTATTATAAAAACGAACGGTGTTCCAGAAACTGCTGATGCTGTGGGTGGACCCTTTGGTACTTTGCCGAACTCATGATGCAGACAAGACCCGGATTCTGACGGATGGGCTACATGTGTTCGTCGGGAACGGAGATGAACTTGGCTCTCTCTGCGAGCGATGAATCAGACGTG